TGTACTAGAAAAACTGTTGTTACTTCTAGTCCCCATTTGATATGTGTGTGTGTGTGTGTGTGTGTGTGTGTGTGTGTGTGTGTGGTGTTTGCTCACATATGAAGGCCAGAGGCTGATGCTGGAATATCGTCCATAATTGCCTTCACCACCTTATATTTTGAGATGTGGTTATTCACTGAATCAGGAGCTCAGTTTGCCTAGACTCACCCCATGGAGCTCTGGGGATCTGTCTGTCTCCACATACCCCACTTCCAGTGTTCAGGGTACAAATCTGTGTCTTAATGCCTGGCTTTTTACATGGGCACTGGGGTGGGAACTTGGGACCTCATGCCTCTGCAGCAATCACTTTATCACTGAGGCATCTCCCCAGTCCCAGTTTCTTATATTTTTAAACACAACAGTACTTGGGGAGGCAGGGATCAGCCTCAAATACATCAGAAAAGGTATGCTTGGAAAACAGAGCTAGCATGCATACAGATCAGGCAATCCAGTTTTGTCAGGGAGCCTCCTCTGGAAGTAGACAGCACTAAATGGGCCCACAGGTTCCTTTGGACTTGAGGCTTGCTCGGATGGTTTGGAATATGGACTGGTGTAAGGTGAGGTGTCTCTACCATGTGAGGCTTCAGTAGCCATGTAGACCTTGCTCAGGTCATTTACAAAACTGGTTGGTGTGAGGTAAGATACTGATGCTTAAAATTGCAGCTTAGCATACAGAGAAATTCTTCTTGTTTTTAAATGTTTTTATTTTAATTATTTTTTAAAATAATTTTTTTAGCAGGCAAATTTGTATTCAATTCCCATCAGGTGAGGTACTCCCTTTTATTTTTCCTTGTATTGTCCCCTTTAGGCAATAAGCCAGGTCTGACGGACTGACACAAATTCCACAGGACTGTAGAATCCTGACATTTGACACTGGGAAACTGAAGCGAGTGTGCAGAATTTAACAATCAGCAAGGGGGGGGGTGTTCTGTAGTGTAATGGTTATCACCTTCACCTAACAATCAGAAAGAGAGCCTCAGGCTGCTACTCATGCATTCTGGCTTGCCCATTGTTTAATATGCAATGAACTGGTGAAAGAAATAGCTTGAGGAAAATGATCTTTCCTTTCAGAACTTGTGGAAAATCAGAAATGTCTCAAGAGTAAACAATGGTTATCGGTTAGACATCACCCAGCTTGCTTGCTCTGACAAGACACTGATCACCAACAGGCCACTCCTGTCAGCTTCTGGACAAGATGGGCTTTGGGAAGGAGAGTCCTCATACTCCTTAGAGAACAGTTACTTTCTTGCTTCAACACCCTGTCTCTCAACTTAACTGGCCTACTGGGACAAGCAACTGCACTTGGGCTGGTAACAATCCTTAAAACCTTCAAAGCTGTGTACCTTTTAAATTTTGTTTTTAAAACACTGGTTAGGACCTTCATAAAGCTGCTAAAAAGCAATGCTTTTCTTAGCCAGAAAGCATGTAGATTCAAGCCATAGGGATCATGTTAGGTGGCTGGAGAGATGCCTTAGTAGTTAGGAGCATTCGTTGATTATTCAGTGATTATTGCTGATTATTCAATGTTGAACCAGCCTCATATACCTGTAATAAATCCCTCAAGGTCATGCTGAATGATCCTAAACTGTTGATTTCATAATATTGTATTGAGGATTTCATCTATTTTCTCAACATATATTAGTAGTTTTCCTTTTTTGAAATGTCTGAGTTGGGTGTTGGATTCATCTAGTCCTGGAATTTTTCATTTAAGATTATAAATAAAATTCTCAAAATATGCCTATTTGTTAATGTGTTATCCTCACATGAATTTTTTACAGAATTCATCCACTTAGGCTAGTGTATTAGTTACTTTTCTGTTGCTGTGATAAAACACCACGACCAAGAGAATTTATAGAAGCTGAAGAGTTTATTTGGCTTCTGGTTCCAGAGGAATAAAAGTCCATCCTAGTGTGTTGAACTTTTATCAACATAAAAGGAGGCACGGAAGGAGAAGGCAGCTGGCGCAGAAAGCTGAGAGCTCTTATCTTCAAGTAGCACAGAAAGCAGAAAGCCAGACTGGAAATGGGCTGTGGCTAAGAATTCAACATCCGCCCATAGCGGCATGCTTTCTCCAGCATGACCATAGCTTCTAAAGGTTCCATGGCCCTCCCCAAACAGCACCACCAAATGGGGGCCAAGTGTTCAAATACTTGGAACCCATGGGAGACATTCTCATTCAAACCATCATAGATAGGTCATCAAATTTATGGGCAGGGCTGTCTATAATATTTCTTAATCATTTTAGTGTCTATGGATTTGTAGCCTCTCTGATACTAGAAGCTTATGTCTTTTAAATTGGTTTACTTAGCTGAAGCTTTATGAATTTTATTGACCTTTTCAGTTTTTTGTATGTGTATACACATGTGGTATATATGTGTGGTCATATGTATGTGGCGGTATGTGTGTCCAGAAGTTGATGTGGGCTGTCTTCTTCAATCATGTCCACCTTACACGTTGAGGTAACCTCTCTCACTTCATCCTGGAGCTCACTGATTGGGCTAGTTTAGCTAGCCAGCCTACTCTGGAGGTATCATGTCTCTACCTCCCAAGTGCTGGAATTGCAGAAAGGCCACTGTGCCTGCCCGGCATTTGTGTGTGTGCTGGGGATCTGATTGTGTGGTAATTTACTAACTAAGCCACCTTCCCAGCAGAGATTAGTTTTTGGTTTTATTTTCTTTTAATTTCACTAACTTTTTTTCTCCTTACTCTGGATTTAATTTCATCTTATTTTTCATTTTCTTAATCTGTTTACTTAATTTAATATTAGGACAGTGTACTTTACTTCTATACTCTAATATGTAATATTGGATTATTTTTATAATCTATAGTATATGACCTTTATCTTCTCGATAAAAAACCCACTCAAACTTACTTCTAGCCTTGGTCCACCTCAACACACTTATTCATACTGTTAAAAATCTCGGGGGGCTAGAGGGATGGCTGGGAGGTTAAGAGCACTGGCTGCTCTTGTAGAGGAACTGGGATTGATTCCAAGCACACACATGGTGGCTAACAACCATCCATAACTCTAGTTCCAGGGGAATCCGATGCTTTCTTGTGACCTCCTTGGGCACTGCACAATACAGGTGCAGGCAATACACTCACTCTCTCTCTCTCTCTCTCTCTCTCACACACACACACACACACACACACACACACACACACACACACACAAAGGCTCTGAGAGCCCACATCTGTCCCTGCATCCATAAGACCTCTGAAGTTAGAACCCAGCCACTCTGAGCAACATTGTGCTATGCACATTGAGCCTCCTATCTAGCTCTGAGGCCTGTTTTGAAGTGTAGCTGCTTATAGATTTTGATATTAATTTGCATACTTGTAACAAATAGGAATATGGATGAGGACCTAGACCGCCACATGAACAAAATAAATTCCTTTTTTGAAAACAAGAAAAAGAAACATTTCTACTTGTAGCTTTGGAGTCAAATAATAACTCCAGAGCCTCCATTTTAAAATCTTATTCTGGGGCTTAGAATCCCTCAATGTAATACAAAGCTTGGAATACCTACTTGCCACCTATAATTATGCTAACTTCTACTTTACACAGGAAAACATACATACTTTCACCCCATTGTTGGGGGAGAATAAACACATGTTAAGCAAACATTCTACTTAATTGAGCTGTATGTCCACAGCTCAAAAACATACATACATACATACATCATGTAACTTAGCACTTGGTGATAAGTAAATTCTGTACATATTAAGGACACTTATCACAGATGTTTAAGGTGACTGCATTATTCTATTATCTATGTTTAAAAAAAATCATTAGATTCAAGTAATTCCCAGGGTTAAGAAGGAAGAAGTAGGGTGTTTAACAAACAGAAATTTCCTGACGTTTAATCCTGATTCCTTTGTAATCATGAAGCACTAGACTCCAAATTCCTTTTTGATTGTATAACTTAACTAGCTCATAGTTAGTTAAATTTACAAATGGTAAGACTTGGTAACATTAAAAAGAAAGCCCAGGGCACATGTGAAAATGAATGTAATCTAAATACATTCTGTATTTGAATTAGCAGCACATTATCAGTATCTTGTGCTTCAGAATGTAATATGGCTAAATTACATGCCATTAAAATAAGGTTAATGAAGGGCAGATGAGAATTTTCTCTACTACTTGTTTTGTTTCTCTCTGACACAGGGTCTTGCTCTGTACCTAGCTGGCCTGATACTCACTATGTAGCCCAGGCTAGCTTCAAACTCATGGAAATCTTCCTGAGTCAGTCTCCCAGGATTACAGGCATGAACCACCAGGCTCAGCAAATTCTGTGTACTCACTGTAAATCTGCAGTTTTCATTGAAAAACAAATTAAAGACATGGTATACTGTGGTGTTAATAAAGCACATTATAGATATGCCTGAATAAAGAAACAGTCTGATTCTTGGCATTCCATTTAAAGTCAATAGTGGGACCGAACTCTTGAGAACCTGTCCCTTCAGATGTCTTCTAGAACTTTGCCCTCCAGCCAGGTTTCACTCATTCTTTTATTGAGACAGTATCTCCAGCATGAATTGGGGAAGTAGGAACTAGGTTTACCCTTATCAAAGAATCTTGCCTTTGGAATCCTAGGCCTAGAATATCAAATAATTGCAGACAAACTTCTCAATTCTCATCGTTTTCAAGGATAAAAACATGCTGTTTCCATGCTTTGATATGTTAACCATGCATACCTACATTTATTCACTATCTTGGGTGGAGGGCAAGTTGGAATCCATAGAAATTAAGGCCAGGTGCCCAGGTCAGAAGAGGAGCACATGGATCAGTGAGATGGTTTACATAATAATTTTTGGATGCAAGTTTAAGTGAAAGTCATTAGTCTAAATTATATCTATACTGTAAAAGTCACTCCTACAGTCTACAACATACTCCTACAAGTTGCTTGTTTTCTAAAGAGAACTATTGTATAAAACACAACACAGGTGAAATATTTCTAAGCAAAAATTTTGATGTTTATTTCATAAATTGAAAAATTTCTTAATATAAATTCTAACATAAACAAATTTACATTTTTCCTAAAACTGTTAATGTTAAAAGTGCATAAGGTTTATGCTGGGTGTGGTGGCACACGCCTTTAATCCCAGCATTCGAGAGGCAGAGGCAGGCAGATCTCTGTGAGATAGAGCTCAGCATGGTCTACACAGTGAGTTCCAGGTTACTGGGGACTATGGGAGACCCTGTCTAAAATATAAAAAAGTACAAGGTTTTATACCAGTAGTAACTTAGGATGTCACCTAGTAATGAAGGTTATCCTGAAATTTGTTGCTGCCTATGGGTTTATCACTTTGCACTAATCTGAAATAAAGTTTAGTTTGTGGCTAAAAGTTACTGAACATTCAGTATGTCAACAGAGGTTTCTTCAATGTATACACCCTGAAATATAACATGGACTGACAAGTGACTAAACATACTATTCACGTTATTCATGACACTCCTCTTACATGTAACTTCTGATGTACAATGAGGTTTGACTTTCGAGAGAAGGTTTTCCCACATATGTTACATTCGTATGGTTTCTCCCCTGTGTGTGATCTCTGATGCCTAGTAAGGGCTGATTTACGGTAAAAGATTTTCCCACAATCATTACACTGACAAGATTTCTCCCCCGTATGAGTCCTGTTATGTACTGTGAGGGATGATTTATGACTAAAGGATTTCCCACATTCATTACATTCATAGGGTTTCTCCCCTGTGTGTGTTCTTTGATGTGAAATGAGCTTTGCTTTCTCACAGAATGATTTGCCACATTCATTACACTTATAGGGTTTTTCTTTAGTGTGAATCATCTGATGTACAGTTAGAGCTGACTTGTGGCAGAAGGCTTTTCCACACTGACCGCATTCATAGGGTCTCTCCCCTGTATGAGTCCTTTGATGCTGTGTGAGCTGTGACTTTTGGCAGAAGGTTTTCCTACATTTGTTGCATTCATAGGGTTTTTCTCCTGTGTGTGTTCTATTATGTGTAGCCAGGTATGACTTATCATAAAATATTTTTCCACATTCCTGACATTCATACGGTTTCTCCCCTGTATGTGTTCTCAAGTGTTGAGAGAGAGTTGACTTACGGCTAAAGAATTTCCCACATTCTGAACATGTGAAGAGATTCTCTCCTGTGTGTGCTCTCTCATGAACTGTGAGGTCTGATTTTAAGCAGAAGGCCTTCCCACATTCATAACATTCATAAGGTTTTAATCCTGTATGTGTTATCTGATGCCTGGTGAGTACTGACTTGTGGTAGAAACTTTTACCACATATATTACATACGTAGGGCTTATTCCCCATGTGAATTATCTGATGTTGTTCTAGGTGTTTTTTTTGACCAAAGGATTTTCCACAATCTGGACATCCATAAGGTTTCTCATTTGTGTGTGTTCTCTGATGTACAGTAAGTTGTGATTTTTGACAAAAGGATTTCCCACAATCTGGACAACCGAAGGGCTTCTCCCCTGTATGTGTTCTCTGATGTACTGTAAGGTGTGAATTTGTAAAAAACGATTTTCCACATTCATAACATTCATAGGGTTTCAGTCCTGTATGTGTTCTCTGGTGCACTCTGAGAGATGTCTTGTAGCTAAAGGCTTTCCCACATTGATTGCATTCATAGGGCTTCTCTCCTGTATGTGTTCTCTGATGTTTAGTGAGGTTTGACTTGTCCCAGAAGGTTTTTCCACAAATATCACATTGAAAGCATTTCTCTCCTGTGTGTGCTGTCTGATGTCCTATGAGATGTGACTTCTCACAGGAAGCTTTGCTACACTCTAAGTACTTCTGTCTTTTATGAGTTTTTTGAACTTGTGAGATACATAACTTCCTCCTAAAATTATTCTCCATTTTATTATGCTCACAGTGTTTGATACGCACACCATCATGTTGGAAAGCCGTGGACTTCTCACAATCATTAAGTTCACAGTGATTCTCTTCAGTGAGAGACAGCCGAGGGAACACCAGTGATGAACCGTCAGAGAAAGTTCTCCCATATGCAGTACATTCATAGTCTCTATCTTCTGTGCTTTCATGCTTGTGTGGATTGAACATTTTCTTTCCCAGGATGGCTTCCTGACACACATTATATTCAAAAGCATGCTCTAAAGTCTCGAATTTTTCATGCTGAATAGGACTTGCATGATCATCAGGTGTAGCTTTATTTTTTAAAACTTCACTTTTCTCTCTAGTAAGGGTTTTCTCACATTTAATGTTGAACAATAATTTTCCACAGGTATTAAATTCATCCAGATTTTTTCTTAAGTTAGTTTTCCTAATAAGTAATTCTGAAATATTGTTGAAATTAATTCCATGTGAGTCATACTTACAGGGTATTTCTATGGAAAGAAATGAATTTATGTCCAAGTTAAATGGGTTTCCTATTTCATTACCTTGTTCACTAATCAGCATTTTGTTATTCATGAATGCATTTTTCCATGAATATTTAGGTTGGTTTTCTTGGCTCCTGTCATTTGAGCAACCAGCTTTCCAAGTTTCTGGAAATAAGAAAAATTAATCTTACTGTATAAACATTAGTACATTTTTTATGAAATAATATCTCTCTACAAAATCCTGTGCCATAGTTCACTGTGGTTTTCTTTTGTTCAGTTTCCTGGAATAAAAATAATTGTATATACACATTTTTTTCTAGTCCATGAATTGTGATAAAAATTTTAAAAACAAACAGAAGATCTAGTACAGCAAAAAAAGGAGGGGAACATGACTATGACAAACCATGGTGATTTCCAATGTAGAAATAATAATCTACATCTCTCCATGCATCCTCCAAAAAATTGTAAGGACTGATGTAAGGAGGGAAAATGACATAACCAATGACAATCAATGAAGATAGTATAGTGGGGAGACAGAGAATACTACAATTTATTTCTACATTATTTATTTATTTCACATGTAGGTATGTGTGCCTGCTTTAGTTTATGTGTATCACATGCATGCAAATGCCCATGGAGGCCAGACAAGTGCATTAGATGCCTCAGAAGTAGATTAAAAGGGAATTTTGAGCTGTCAGGTGGGTGTTGAGAATGAAAACTGCACCCTCTGCAGTAGCAATAAGTGCTCTTAACCACTGAATCATCTCTCTAGTCCCAAGAATACTATGTATTTTAATTGCTACTAAAGAAATAAATATTTAAACATAGAAGAAACAGCCCATATCTATGTAGTTTGCTGAGTCTAGAAGTGACAAGGAAAATTATTTCCAGATAGAAAGTTTCTCTCCAAGTTAAAAAATACTGCTAGAATGTCTGAGTCCAGAGGTACCACAATTCTTTAATGAAGTTCAAAGTCTTGTGACATTCACTTTCTACTTAAAGAACTTCCTCTTAATCATTTTAAAGGAACATTTGCTAGCAACACAATCTCTTAGTTTTCTTTTATCTTATTGTATTTTTAGTTCCTTTTCTTTCATAAATACATTTTCAGAAGACTTACAGTGTTTGAGAGTTCTTTTCTTTCAGTCCTTAAAGAGGAACTTCTTCCACCATGGTCCGATGAAAAACGCATGTCATTCCCTAGAAGTAATGTCTTATTTGAATTATAATTAATGAGTGTGATTTACTCAGCATATACCTTCAGCAAAGATTTCCCTGAACTTATTTGCACAATGTTAATTCATATTTTTTAAATTTATTTTTATTTTATGTGTATGAGTGTATTGTCTGCATGTATGTTTAGTGCAATGCCCATGGAAGTCAGAAGAGGGCATTGGATCCCTTAGAACTGGAGTTTCAGACAGGTGTTAGCCACCATGTGGGTGCTGGGAACCAAACTTGGGTCCTCTGCAAGAGCAAGTTCTCTTAACTGCTGAGTCATTTCCCCAGTCCTTAATTTATATTTTTGAATATGTCACTTTTATATATTTTGATAAAGTTGGGAAATGTTCACCCATTATATCCTTACACCCTTATGTAACCTTAAATTTTTCTCTGCTGATTTAGGAGAGATCATATATGAACGTATATCACCTGCTGCTTGTCTGCTGAAAAATCCACTAATAAAATTATTCAACAAAGCCTGTAATAGTCCCATCATTTAGACTACATACTACCTCTCTGACACAGGATGATCCTCCCCATGTTAACTACTTCCTTTCAGTCACTGTGGCATTTGTTGTTCTTAAAAAATACCAAGCACATTCCTGTCCAAGGGCTCAGCAGTCACTGCTGGCCTTGCTAATAATGCAGAATCCCACCGGCTCACTGATTAACTTCTCTCATTTTTCTGCTGTAGTGTTGACCTTAGATCCCCTTGACAGTTCTTAAAGTAGAATACCCTACCTACATAAAATTGCATTAATTTATTTGATGGTCTGTACTATCACAGAACATTTCAAATAAGTATCTATGCATATATTTAATGTTTTGTGTAAAATCATTTAGCCCATTTCTATATCCTCAGCTCTTAGAGAATGATTAGCATAGAATAAGAATTCAAACACCTGCCTGGCATGCTGCTGAACACCCTTAATCTAAACACCAGAAAGGAACAGGTAAGCAGATCTCTGTGAGTTCAAGGCCAGCCTAATCTACCCAGGCCAGTCAGGATTCCATAGTGAACGTGAGTCTCAAAAAACCAAAAGAAAAAAAGTTCCAAAATTAGTGAATGAAGAAATGAGTATGTGTAAGGGTGTTTAAAAACAAAGGTAATAAAGGAAAATAAAAGTAAAATGGGTAAATGGTACTGCACTGAGAAACAGAGTAGTGGAGAGTAACAGCAGGAATGACGGGACAAATGAAGTTTAGCGAGGCAAACATACAAATGTACAATATTTTAAAAATAAGTTCAAGCTGGAGAGATGGCTCAGTGGTTAAGAACACTGGCTGTTCTTGCAGAAGACCTGGGTTCAAATCCCAGCACCCACATGGGAGCTAACAACTGGCCATAACTCCAGTTCCAGGGGATCTGACAGCTTTCTG